TCCTATTTTTAGTGAACAGACAGTCGAGAACAATGTGACCTAATTAAAACGATTTCAGCAGAGATTAAGCTTTTTAATATGCTTTCCTGTTTAAATTAACAAGATAACAGACTAAGAATGGCACATTTTAACTTCTTTCTGGGGTATTATTAGTCACTTCCTTGACTTTTAAACATTGAAAAGTTGACTTTTACAATTTTTCAGTAAAGCAGTTTGTATTCCAGGAATTGCATTTGAAAACAAAATCCAGTATTTTACACATGCAGTCAATTAATGATAGTTATTTTGTTTATCTGTTCTCTGTCTTTTATTATAGTTTTATGACTCCATTGTTAATGGTACAGTTTCATACTTTTTCATACTACATTAACTATTATCTATATGAAAATTTTGCATACTCCTTGTCACCTGACACAACATTGGTCTCTATAACCAGGTTATAACATTTTTAAAAGGAATTTGAGTTAGGTAAATTATACAATATCATCCATGTTTTCTATTTTTCATCCATATATGTTCTAACCACTTAACCAACAGTAACATGGCAGGATACACCCTGGATGGGACACCAGTCCATCTCAGGGCATATGTAGACACACATACTCACAACACAGCCAGTTTTCCCAGAAGTCAATTATCCTACCAGTATGTCATTGGACTGTGAGAGGAATCTGCAGCATCCTGTATCATTTTAATAAAATATTATTATAATATTAAACTTAATTCAGATCAAGTATCGTTTTCTTTACTTAATCCAGAGTCTTGTTCCTTCACGTGCCTTGGCATGGTTGTTACTTGTAAAAACCGGCGTGAGTTGTTTTCATTTCCTCTGGGAAAGGAGGGAATTTAGGAAGAACTGCTATGCACCCATTTGGCTTAAGCTACAAAGTCAGAGCATGCACCAACTGAGACTTGGTTTGGCAGCAGTCACTGAGTTATTCTAATGGCAGCAAATAGTGTCTCCGAAAAAATCCAAGGGCACTCATTGACTCACGCCCTCCTCAACAGGCAAGTTCTAGGGATAGGGATATTGCAAAGTGGAATTGGATTTGTGGAGAAAAATGAAACCAGCACAGGGAGGACCTGGAAGCAAAAAATCACAAGGAGGAGGAGAAAACCGCAGCACTCAAAGGACACCCACATGATCATGGGGGAAAACATACAAACTCCCAGTAGATAGCACTGCAGGTCTGGAATTGAATTGCTATAGCAATGCTAACTGCTGTGCCACTGTGTCACCCTTCTTCCTAGTTCCTTGCTTTTCCATTAATCCTGCATTGTTTATTTACTCAATTTTGAATCAGCAGTTCTTCTAAGACCCATCAATGACTCCCATGATGCTCAGGAGTGAATGAGACTCACTGCAAACTCTATTATGCCTGACTGGAGAGACAGTGCCAAGTGTAAAAGTGGCACCTCGGCTAGTGATGTCACTGTTAGTCACAGTGGTCTCTGTGTGCTGAAAAGTCGAGAGAGACAATGAGCCCCTCTCTTGCCCATGGAAGCACTCTGCTCGTTGTGTGCCGGTGAGTGGGGGATGCCTGTCACAGTCAATGAGTAACACGGCCCCTGCTCAGCTATCCAACTCACTATGTCTGGGCCATAGGGTTCAAGCTCTGCTCTGAGTGGGAACTGTAATGGAGGCCAGTCTTGACTCCCGTGAAGTGCGTAGTTTAGGACCCTATGCAGACGGTATTATCCAGAAGCGACTGGAGTAGGATACCGGGGAAAAAACGGCAGGATCAGGACAGGATGACAGACAGGGGGGCGTGACGACAGTGATCCAGTGCTCAAGGGGCGTGGCGCAGGCGAACAAGTCCAAAACAGTCCAAATAGGGAAACCAGGGCACAGTCCAATATCCAAAACCGGGAGCTCCATCCAAGATAACGACAAGAATAAAAACAAGGAACGGGGACACGGAAACAGGAACATGGAAGCTATAAGAAGAGTAACGAGGCCAGGCGCTCCGAGCCCCGGATTCAGCTGGTCAGGACGCCGTTCTGAAGCCTATGACCTCAAGCCACGGTCGTGGGGCGACTTGATGCTAGGCGGGCCTCCAGGCATCCATCTTCCAATGCAGAGCCCTGAGCTTCGGAGGAACAAATAACAGATGGAACAAGGGGCAGGTAAATGTGATAGTGAAACTAAATTACAAAAGGGCCGGAACGCCCTCTAGAGGAGGGATGACGATTGTGACAGGCACCTTTGCTCAATGCACATTATGGTTTAATTCACTTTTCAGTGAGGAATGGCATGTAATGGAAACGTGCAGTTTGTATCTGGCTGGGATTCGTTCTGCCATCTCTTGGGCACCTTCCCTGGCGCGGGACTAACAGGCAGGCTAAGAAACCCAGTGAGCTGAAAGACTGGCAGTGACATGTGGCCTGGCGAGTTGCACCACCTGTAACTCTGTAACGGGTTAAAACTGAATGAGCCCTGTTACACAGTACCCCTGCTTACCTAGGCTACTTCAAAGACGAAGCTTAACTAGTGAGTTGACTGGTAAACGCTTTTGTTCAAATGGACTCTATATTTCAGTCATAACTGAGTATGGGCTATACCTTTATCTGACTGTGACTAAGTCGGTTCTAGTAGTAGCACCACTGAGGTTGGGTGTACTGAAAGCAGCCAGGGTTTTAATGCTGCTCCATGGAGACGTGTGGGATGTGCTAAGCTCCTAGATGGGGTCCTGCAATACAGTGAGCGAGAGCTGTCACTCTTCCAGTTTCTGCAATAGACAAAAATAGAAAAATGTGCAACATGTAAATAGGTTGGTCTTTAAACAGGCTCAAAATAGACTTGTACAAAGCAGTTTGTTTTTTGCTAATTGCATCTAAATAAAGAAGCATTTTGCAGATAGGTTGAAGAAAATCAAGTAGGTAGCTGCATCAGCATGCATAGGCTGCAACTTAACAGGTAAAAGTTTATTTCATACTGAAATGCAAAGAAAAGAGACACAACATTTAGGCTGTAGAGCCTTCTGTAACATGGCACACCTGAAGAAGGCTCCACAGCTGAAACGTGTCTCTTCTTTGCCTTTCAGCATGGAATAAATCTTCACCTGTTCATTTGCAGGCAGGAGCAACTGAAGAGAAGTATTTGTGATGACCGTCTATTCTCTGATGAATGTGACTTTGGAGACAGAGGAAGTACGGAGGTAAAAAGGCTATGATTGTATGGTAAACTGGGTTTCTTTTCTTAGAAGCTGATTTATTTTTTGGTTATTAGCTCTGCATAACAGTACATAGTTAATTAATGCATTTGTAATGGACTGGTTCATTATTCTCTGTTGTCCCACATCCGTTTTGAAGGTCTCTCAGCTTCTTCTGCATGCTATTATCTTTTTCTGTCCTGTTCTATCATGGACCTGCAAACATGATGATTTCAAGTTGCTGTCTTCCTGGAGGACTTTGTCTTGATGACTTTCTGTGCCTTGGGATCCAGTTCAGACAGTTTAGCATATTTTGGTCCAACAATAAACCATTCTTCTTGCTGCATTTGATGCCCATTGTTGTGCAAGTGCCCATCTCAGCCTTCAGCCCATTCATTGTCTGCAGCCTGTTAATCTGTTATTCTTACGTCATTTCATGCTTCTTTCGGTGCTTCAGATAAACAGTGTTATTCAAAAGCTAGGAAGCAACATATACAGAGAGGCTGAGGCAATATATCTGATTTTGTCCCTAGATTGACTAATATCTTCGTATCCCTCAGCAGACATGACGATATTAGTCATATCTGTTTTTGTCTTTTGCAGAACTGCAGCAGTTGACTTTCCCAGGGATAGGAGCTGGGAGGAAGAATCCCTGTGCTTAGGCTGGCTTCCCCTTGGACCTTCCCTTGTTCCTCCTTGCCCAAGATGGTGGGACAGAAGGGTGAGCCAGGGAGTCCCCAGTGTAAGTAACTGTTCCCCTGGCCCTCAAACAACAGGGAGGTGCCGGGCTGGTTTTCTTCTTTCTACCTGGGACTGCTTTAAGTCAGGTTGTTTCTCTGCTATGTTGTCCGGAGCTATGACTGTTTTGGTTTGTCTGCTCTAATACCTCACAACACATCTGGTCCATCTTAAAATGGAGTGAGTGCCAGACTCCAGTCAGCTTTAATGCTGCAATATACTGACCCCATTGCTGTTTCTTGCGATAGCAGCTGAAGAAGTATTTGTACATGTGCACTTATACTGCACATGTACTGTTAATTCTGACGTTAAAAACCACTGCCCTGTCAAGCACACAGGTTTTTATTTCTCCTGACAGCATGTGCTGGGGTTTTTCATCTCCTCCCAAGATGGCTTACATTGCTGTAGGTTTTTACAGCCGTTTATTTCTCTTCCAGATGCATGCACCATGTGTGTTCTGTTCCACCTGTGGTGTGATGCAGAGACTGATGAATTGTGCGCCACTCTGCACTCATCACTGAACTAATAATTCAGGACTAATTAATACAATTACATAAATAATTAGGAGTCTACTGAGAAACAATTTGTAGCGTTGTATTCCATGTAATTTTTGCATTACAGTAAATACAACAGTCAATGTGTTAAAAGAAAAGCATGTGCTGTAGTTTAATGCTGTGTTTAACATACCCACTTTTTTGAGGCATTAACACATATTCCTATTTCTAGGCAATTTAAGGTACCGCATGTCCTTGGTGGTTTGCTGTTGTGAGCTGTGATAGTAGTGTCAGGTTATAGTTAGTTAAAGTAACAAATTACACCAGTTTAATTTGTTTCCACAGTACATTTCCTAAATACAGACTGTCATCTTTTTCTTTGTCTCACAGATGAGAAAATAATAAAAAAAAACACTAGAAGTCAGTGTTGAAAATGTGTGGTTTTAAAAATTACAATGATCTTCTTATAGTCTCGTCTTGAAACATAATTTTAATATCTTATTGAAGTGCATTTAATCAGAACTTGAGTGATTGTAGGTATTGATGTCAATACATAATTTCACCTTAACTTGGTCAAATTCCTATAATATTCAAGCATAAAGTTCTAGTTCATAAAAGGGGATTAAATCATTTATTAAAAATAATACCACAAATTAATTTGCCAATCTAAAGTAATCTAATGCGAGACATGCTAGGGTATCAAGACTAGCAATTGTTTTGAAGATTAACTCTAAATGCTGCTTTCATGAATATGACACATTTCCCCTTTACATGAGTACTTTACGTTTTCCTGCTAGCAGGATAAAACCCAAACAAAACTGTGATAATCTACGTGTTGGCAGCATTTTACATGTGAATGTACGTAGTTAAGGATATCCACGAGTTATTTTAAACGACAGATTTTTTTTTCTTCAGAAGCAGATCTGCGAACGAGCCAATCAGAGCGAAGCCCCGGTCACAGTCTCTAGTGGCAGAGTGCAGGCGATCGCCTCAGCTGCAGCCTTAAACTCTCGGCACAGGTTGTGTGCCGTGTCTTCACTAACCAGAGAGGAGCTTGCGCAGCAGCCTTGACTCAACTTTAGACACTGAGATAGAGGTGGCGAGACACACTTACAGCGGATCGTTGTTACATTGTCAGCATCTCTGCATTCTCTCGTCACTCTCTGGACCAAATAATTCTTGCACAGGTGTATATGACGGGTACCTGAGCCGAAGCCAGCACACACTAGCTCATTCTTTGTTAGGACATCTGCACTCAGGAAGACAGAATCCTAAGATTGTCTTTGCATGAATTATAAAGCGTGTAGCTGTTCTATAGACTTCTAGAGAGATTTTAAGGTCCTGTTACCCTTAGTTAAATAAGGGAAACTGAATTTAAATTTTCAGGTTCAGGTTTGCACATAAAATAATCCGAAACGTATTTTTCCCCAATGGCTGATAATATGATTGAAGACTCTGATTACTATCCCGAGAAAGACGATCTGGAGTGGGGATATGAAGAAGGTGAGTTTGTGTTTTCCATTTAATTTTTTCAACTGCTCTCTGGAAATGATGTTCCATGCTCTGCTCCTTGAAGGGTAAAATAACTGTACAACAGTGACACCCACCAATTTGTTTACCATAGAGTTATATAGCTTGGTTTTCTATCCTGCTTTGTTTGTTAAAGTTCAAAGTGCTACCACATGATTGCAGTAAAATCTCTGGCTTCAATAAAGCAGATAGTTCTATTAAAAGCTAAATGTTCTGTGCTTTATATGTGATAAAATACTTATCTTAATCCCCTGGACTAATGAGTTCAAGACAATAGTCTTGTTTATTTTTTATTTACTACTTATTAAAATCTAATTTGTAAATTAGCTTTACTTTTCTTTAGTGCATTAAAGGTTTTTCAATAGGTTATTTAAGGAAGTGTGAACAAAAGTTAACTGTACTTCAAAAATGTGAATTTATAAGCATTATTTCTGTTATATTCTGCCTTATTGTGAACAGAAATTAAAAGGAAAGTTATCTGCTCATTGAGAAGTGTAAGTTTATAATTGTAAAGTGCATGCTTTTTTAAACTGCTTTGTTTCTTGTATACTACACTCAGTCTTAACATAGATGTATAGGAGGTGTCATTTTGGGAAACATGTCATCCTATTGAATGTAATAAAGTTAAGATTTTGAAGAAAGCTGTCTGTGCTAAAAATAGCATTGTCTAACAATGATCATCTTACTGAAAATTGAGTCACTTCAAATTTTGGTGACAGATGCAACATATCACTTTAGTAATTTCCTTTGAACAAATACAGAAAAATAAACTATATTATAGCTGTCAGTCTGTTTTTGTGTATCATCTTTGTTGATATTTTACACAGTATCTTCACACTTAATCAGGAACTGCTATGTAGTGACAGTCTGTCACAACACATCTTAAGCAAATGTCTATCTTTGTCTTGTTATTGCTTCTACTCTGATGTGGCCTCAGGCTGCCAGACAATTCCTTGAATCGTGACACTGTTATCTGACTGTTTGTTACAGAGATTTTGATATGTGGAGATTCAACATCAAATATCAAATTTCTTCTTTCTATCTGAAGTTACAGTATAGTGTTATGAGTAATATTATTAGGGACAATTTATGGCAATATTATATAGTTATAAACAGTGAAAGTGGGGTAGAATGACAGGAAAGCATAATGAAAGCAAGGTAAAAGCAAGGTTGGCGTAAACTGAAGGTAAGTGTGGAGAGTGAAATATTTAATATACCTCTAAGTGTCAAAGTCTAAATGCCTGTGTAAGTGAAATTATAGACTTGTATGATCTAGTATTTTGTAATTAGTTGTTTAGCTTAGTTGATTAGGTACAATTAAGGACTTGCCTTTGAGATGTGGGGTGATCATGCTAATTTTTAAAATATGTACAGTATAAAAATAAGTACCAAGAGGTTCCTTAAGCAAAATCTATTGCCTTAGGAATTTGTGGCTTATTTCAAGGCACAACATAATTTTTTGGGAGAGTGCTGAAATCCAAAATTCTGCTTTATTCCCTTTTACCAAGGTGCACCAAGTGTTGACAGGATTGATACCAACCTTGCAACCCCAGAGACATTTGTAGAGAAAAGAGAGTAATAAGTCTATTTTCATAGTCCGTTACCATACACAGATTTCTTCGGGCAGAGAGGCATACAAAAGCTAAATAATAAAATCAGATTGATAAGTTACGGTATATAATAAGCACTTTACACTTTACAATTACAGCCTCACAGCACACCTCAATGCTAAATGACATGCTTTTATTTCTTATCTAACTCCATAGATAAGAGTCTCTGGCTCCATTTTAACAGGTAAGTGAGAGACCATGCAGAGAAACTGTGATCCATTGCTGTTTCTTGTGGTGGAAATTAAGCTATTGATTTATTTACACCCTCTCTCTCTCTTCCATTAACAAATCTAAACAAAGGTGATATCTTCTTACACTAATGGGCTTTAACATTGGTTTCAGTGTTGTTTGCACATATAAAGACATACAGAGCTCTGAATCAACAAAAGATTTTCAATAGCAAATAGAGGGTGTCTACTGAAGGTGATAGGTAAACAGAATATTATTAAACTTTAACAGCATACTATTAAACTTCATGGGAGTGGAAACACCACGGACTGAACAAAGTTAAAAATGAAAAAAAGAAAAAGGCTCATAATGTATTCCATATATGACATGAAATATCAGTGTGAACGTAAAAGTTTATTATTCTTTAATAATAGTAATAATACTAATAATGGTGGTGGCATGGAGGTGCAGATCTTAACATTCTGCACTGGGGCCTTAGGGTGCTATTTGCTTGGAGTTTTAGATTTTTCCTGTGTTCACATGGGTTTTCTCCGATTGGTTTTCTCCCACAGTCCAAAAACCTGCTGGTAGGTCAATTGGCTTCTGGGAAAATTGGCCCTGCTGTGAGTGTGGGTGTGTTTGTGTAAGACGCAATGTGATGGACTGGCATCCTGCACAGGGTTTGTCCTGCCACACCCCCGCAGCTTGCTGGGATAGGCTCTGGCTCCCCCATGACCCTGTATTTGGATAGGCAGTTTGTTGTTTTGCACGTTGCCTGTTGTTGTTTTTTTGCACATTGCCTGTTGTTGTTTTTTGCACATTGCCTGTTGTTGTTGTTTTTTTTTCACATCGTCTGTTGTTGTTTTTTGCACACTGCCTGTTGTCTCTGTCTTTCTTTTGCTACAAAATTGTATTGTTGTTGTTGTTTTTTTCTCTTTGTACTACTTATGTCCGAGAGCTAGCTAAATAGCATTTCGTTACACCATATACCATGTATATGAGTGTAATGACAATGAACTTGAACTTGAACTTGAACTTGATAATGTATGGATGGATAACAACAACAATGCATTTTGTAAAATGTGTGCAATATGAGTCCCTTGTCTTTGTATACAGTTACACTGCAATAGGGGAGTTGGTTCACAGAAGATGGAGATCCTTGTCTGAACTATGTTCCCCAGAATGCTGTGGGAAATGACTTGCTGCCCTCATTACACGTGAATTGGTTAGGTCGTTATTTAAAAACCCGAAATCTGAGGCTTCCAGTTGTTGGCATGAACTGCTATTTTTGTGATTTCTGCAAAGGGAGAAGGAAGTGATCAAGGGAGTGCCAGAAGTTTGGATACTGGAACCTTTTGACTTTCATGCACATGAGTTTTTCTAAAGAGTCTTGGAGGGAGACTGAGTTCTTTTGGAAGAGTGGAGGTTTTGAGAAGCAGCGTTTGGAAGCGGGAAAGCAGCTTAGCTGCTTAGTGAGGGAACAGAAGAAGTCTAGTTTGTAGCGCAAAGGTTTTTGTTTTGTGTTTGAGGTTTTGATTATTTTCCTCACACTGTTCAATACGCTGTAAATACAAAGCACTGGTTTTCTTCCTTTCAGCTGTGTTTGTCTGTTTACCTGGACCCACCTATAAAAAGATCGCTACGGCACACCACTCCTGGGTGTGTCACAATACACAGAATGATATGTCATATGCAAACACTCTCCAGTTATTCTACTAATCTACAACTCTGGGTTGCAGGAGAAATCTTATGTCATTCTCTGTTACATCCATCCATCCATTTTTTTATCCTTTTATCTAATACAGGCCTTCAGGGGAGCTAGGATCTACCCCAGCAAGTAAGGCAGGCTACACCACCGGAAAGGACGCCAGTCCATCACACAAACACACACAAGTGGACCAGTTTTCCCAGAAACAAATTAACCTACCAGTATATTTTTAGAGGAAACACACGCAAACACAGGGAAAACATACAAACGCCATGCAAATGGCACCCCAGGAATTGAACCCAGGGCTACTAGCCACAGAGACGAGACACAAACACAGACACTTTTCAGTTCCCTCAGACCAGGGCCAATTCTCACATAAGGCAGTTAACCTACCAGTATGTCAGTTTTGTGAGGACACTGGAGCACCAAGAGGAAACCCACATGAACACGAGGAGAACATACAAATTCCACACAGATAGCACTGGAATTGAACACAGTGCCCCAGTGCTGCAAGGCAGCAATCCTTACCACTGTTTCATTTCATGTCATTGCTATTTCATGCATATAGCTAGTAGCAAACTAAATGGGTATCATAAATCAGGACACAAGTCAGAAGCACTGACCAAGAAATAACTGTAAGAAAAACAATAAAAGCCTTGCATTACAACAACAGTTGATTTGTGCCAAACAAACCAAAGAACATGCTTGATTTCTAATCCTTTTCAATTACCATAGTATCTACTGTATGTGAAGAAAAAGAAAACCATTACATTTCCCATTGTTTGAAATTAATCAAATTAAACAATTCTGTCGGGGGCATTGTTTTACTGGAAAAATGATATGCATGACATTATGTTTTTCATTGGTTTTAATGTGTAGCTCACTCATGAGAGTTCTGGCTTATTTATCAGGAGTGACATTTTTAAATTTCAATCCTTATGGGATCCCTAGAACTTCCAAACTAGTAGACCCTACCTAAAGACAATGTGGACTTTAACCTTGGCCTTCCTCAGCACAGGAATCAGCAGGCTTAGAAGTTAAAGACAGATGAAAACACACAAAGAGATCAGGAAATCTAATATTTGTGTTAGTTCATTGTGCAGGATTATAAAAAAATGCTAAAAATGAATGTTGTGCTTTTACTATCCAAAGTAATAGGGCTGTTCTCATTTAAGTCTGTACTGATGTAGACAATCTCTGATTAAAGAGGTTTGAGTAGGAAGCTACATTAATCTCTGATCAATTGTTTCTCTATGCATTCTAACATTGCAAGCTGGGAAGAATTCCTTTAGAAAGAATAAATGAAAACATAATTTTAAAATAGTTTGTGTATTTCTTTCTAAATACTAATACTATTTTGTACAATAAGATGAATATCTTTGTTTAATCTACACTGAACAACGTTAACAATGTTTTTATTTTTGGAGGATAGTGAGTATTAATGGGTAAAGGACTGTAACTGATAGTGTCTGTAACCGAAGACATTTCTGAATGAATGTCTCAAGCGTTGTGTTCAACTCCTGGGCTTCTAGTCAAAGAGATTGTGTTGTGGAGGTAGAAACTAGAAAAAGATGCCAACAAACATAGCAACTGGAAGATTATAAAACAATGAATTACTTGTTGTGCTGTAATTCAGTTATAACAGGGTTATATTCAGGTGGTTTTATACAAACAAAACCTTTTAAAAATCATATTTACTTTATAACAATTTTTAAACAGGAAAAGTATGTCTTCAAAATGAAATCCCAGCATTTTAACAGAAATAAAGGATAGAATTGTGCTTATCTCTTTATCAAATTTTTCGTTATAGTAGTACCTTAAAATCTGCAACAATTTGACTGATGTGCTTTAGTTGTTTTGTGATGTGCAGATTTATTTATATGGTTTTTAATCTCAGTTGTTTTCCTTGTTTGAGTCCAATCTTAGCTTAGATAAAATTACACTGTGAGAAATAGTACTGTGTGTTCAACAATTGCCAGGCCTTTCTCTGTAGTGGGGGCAGATGTTTTTGTTTTTATGGGCAGTGGCTATTTTAATAAAGATATCAGGTGAAGTCTGTATTACACCAGTTTTGTTACTTGACTTTGTAAGAATAGAATGACATGGAAGATAAAAATCTCCTTGGCTTGAAGTGTTTCTTCGCCTTTTTGTTTCTCCTATATTTTAAATTACTCAATGTCTTCCAAAGTGAAACCAGGCATGTCCCTTCTGCAAACAAAGCGAGAGAGGGAAAGAAATATAACACCTAAAAAGTAATATGACATCCAATCCGGGCCAGGAGGGATGATTTTATAAAATTCCATGAGGAACTACCTTGTCTACAATTGTTTTAATTATCTTTATATGAGCTTATTGAGAGCCATGAACACTTTTTTTTTCTAAGGCTTTTTCTATGTCATGACTGAGACCTTCTTCTTTACCCTTGAACCAGGCAGGTTCAGTGTGTTCATTGGCTCTTAAAAATAAATAAAAGAGGTCAGCCACCCATGAGAGTCAGCCTTGGTGTTTTATCACTCTACTGAAAAGTAATTCGGCCCTTTATCATAATACTGTATCAACATAGCAACAGTTAGCTGTAGATAGTTGCTTCAAGCTGTGGAAAAACGCTTGCACAGGCAATGTGATGGATTTGTACTGCAAATCACTTTTGTACAACAAAGGGATAATTAACCATGGGCAGCAGTTGTTCTGTATTGTGTAAGACCTTTACTCAGTGCTGCATCATTATGTAATAGGCCATTGCTGGCCTCTGGGAGCATTGTTAATTGTTTCTTGTTAATTCTGACTTTTTAATGGTAAAATTGTGACAACAAAAAACAACCGCAAAACCATATTGCATTGACTCAATATGGGAAGATATGCCCAAAAGGTAATACTGCCCTTTCTGCAGAAATGCGGGAAAACCTATTTCTGCTTCAGGATACTCTGAAGTATGTGTAGAAAAATAAAAATAGAAAGCCATTTCAGGCCCTGTCACAACCAGTTGCCTGTCCTTATTTGCCTAAATACATATTTATTTAATCTCTACGGCATTACATACATTTATAGTTCCTGCAGACAGACTGACGTCTGGGATCAAAGATGTAGAAGTAGTGTTACTCATAAATTCAATCCGGTTAACAAGAGATAAGCTGATCCCTCAAAACATCTAACACTTTTTTTATACATAGTTGTTTAACAGCACAGAAAACAGGTCAAACGAATTCCTTTTTTATTATGTCAGATCTTGCATTAGAAATTTGTGAAAATTCATCCATGACATATTAATCTTGCAATACTTTGCAAAAAGGTTAAGATATTGATCATGTTTAGATGCTGTTGTAAGTAGTTGATTAACATCTGAATGCATCTTATAAATCTGTTGTGTGAAGGAAACATTTTTCTGTTGATTGAATAAAATAACAGCAGATAGACCCTGGGGCCAGGGATTATGTGACTGATGTAATATGTTTTTCTTAATCAGATAGCTCAATGCCTTGTCTTTTTTTCTTAATTGCCAGCCAATGTCAAAACACACACACACACACACACACATTCTAGGAGAGCAATCGCGGGGGTTCCATCCATGCATTCGTTTTCTGTGGATGTGCCAGAGTCTATCCTCACAAGCAGCGGGCGCAAGGCAGGACACAAGTCCATCACAGGGCACACACTGACACAACGCACACACAAACACACACAGAAGGGCCAGTGTTCCTAGGAGCCAGTTAACCCACCAGTATGTCTTTGAACTGTGGGAGTAAACGGAAGCACCTGAAGGAAAGTCAGGTGAATACAGGGGGAACATACAAACTGCACACAGATGGCACTCCATAAATTGAGCCATTGACCCTAGCACCACGAGGCAACGATGCAAACAATGCGCAATGCCCCCCTCTCTGGAGGATAATGAAATTGAAATTGATTTTGGAAAGATCAAAAATGCAAGAATCATTTTTGGCACCTTTATTAAGTTAAACATGCTATCTTTTTCAGGTGTGGAATGGGGTTTGCTCTTCCCCGAAGCTAATGGGGAATATCAGTCTCCCATAAACCTCAACTCAAGGGAGGCCAGATATGACGCCAAGCTCCTAGAGAGGCGACTGAACCCAAACTACGTGGTGTGCCGCGACTGTGAGGTCATCAATGACGGCCACACCGTTCGGATACTTCTCCGATCAAAATCGGGTAGGCTGAGCTTTTCTGAACGTAATCACGTTTTTGATAGAAACAATTAGAGAATAAAGGATTAAAGTTCTGTAGATCCCTGAAGAGATGATGAATAGCCAACAGCTTGTAGCGTTTACCTGCACATTCGAATCAATAATGAAATATTGTAATGCCTAATTACTGTGTGTGAAAATTTAAACCTGGCAATACCGATCCATCTAAAATTATATTAACCATACAGAATTGTTACATATGCTCCAATGTAGTATTAACAATTCTTTAAAAATGTATGTTCAACATTATTTAAAAAAATAATCTTACCAAAGCCTAATTGTTTCTAGTATATTTCTTAGCAACACAAGATTATATTTTAACTTGAATAAGTGAGGTCCTAAGTAAAGTGTTTTGTGATTTACTATATCTGCCAAAATAAAAAATTATTTTGTCTGAGCTCCCATCAGTACAGGTGGTTATCAAATGAGATCAGTCTGAGATGACAGAATCAGAAGTTCAGGTAGTTTGCAGAAACTGGAAAGAGCACTTTATTTCCCTTTAGGTCTCGCAAAATAGCATAATTAAAATGTGCACCTACCTGTATTGAGTTTTCAATGACATTATGTATTTCATAAATCTGAAATGACCAAATATTTTCCCCTCTGTACTTCAGCTTCATTTTTGAAGCACCAATTGCCTGTCGCCTTGTCCCACAGACGTCACCTTTGGTTAAATGGAAAGCGCGCACGTCTGTCCAAGACATTTCATGGCTGCCTGCCATATTTATAACAACTAAGCACTTACAGCACTCACTTGAGCTGAGGACTGATGCTGCTCTCGTTGCTGTAGCTGAAAGGTCACAAGATTGAGTCCATGACACAGTAAATGTCCAGCTCTGTGTTACTCCAGCCCGCAGGTGAAAGAAAAAAGGGCCCGTCGAAGTAATTGTTCACAGAGTCTGATTAGCAGTGAAGATTACAGAGTTTATTATGTGATAGGGTGATAATAATATAGTAATGGGAAGCAGAAAAGAACGGCAGGCAGCTGAGATGCGCAGGGGAAGCAGAAAAGAACGCCTGGCAGCTGAGATGCGCAGGGGAAGCAGAAAAGAACAGCTGGCAGCTGAGGTGCGCGGGGGAAGATGTCGGTTCTAGGCTGGAGACAAGAGGGGATGATAGATAGTGAGTGAGTGGTAGTGTTGCAAACAGGAATCAGAAGGCTGTGAACACGAAAACCTAAAACAAAGAACATATACACACTGTTGTTAGTCAACTCCATGTCAGAGCCCTGAAGAATGGTTCCTCAGGGTTTAAAAAGTGTGCAAGGTCTTTAACGAGGTTGATAAGCCCGACCTGATTTCGTTAGAGCTCCATTTATGGCCAGGATTTACAGTAGACATAAACAGAGTTTAGTAAAATATTACTGTGAGGTCTATCGCTGTATTACAGAGGCTCCTGAAATGTCTTCAACCTCTTCTGAGATGGTTATGGAACTGGCATTGTGACATGTTTTTAAATTTGTTACCAGATTACCAATTAAAATTTGCTTCTTATAATTCAGATTTTTTTTTTTTAGTACGTATTGTATGCGTTTCTCACTGGAAAGCCATGATGTGATCTCTGTCTGTGTGTATCCCTTCAGTTTGTATCCCTGTGTCACTGTTTCAGTTGTGACAGGAGGCCCTTTACCCAGCGACCATGAGTATGAGCTGCATGAGGTTCGCTTTCACTGGGGCAGAGAGAACCAGCGTGGCTCTGAGCACACAGTGAATTTCAAAGCCTTTCCAATGGAGGTACAGTGTGTGGCGCTTTCTTTCTCTCAAAATCAAATTTTCTTTTCTCCCCTCATTAATTGAGCACATTATACCACAGCATTAAGGAAGAGTCAGTTTGAAATCTTTGAAAAAAGTAATGATTCACATGTCAAATATATCATTAACTTCAAAGCATGAAAAATCTCTGAAACAGGACAGACTCAGAATATTATGATTCTGAAGTGATTTATTATTCTTTTCGGTGTTTTCGGAAATATACTTCCTAGTTCACTACATCTTGGTATCTAAACATGATCTTTTTTATGAAACTCCTTGGATTTTTACTCAACACCTGCATGAATTCCCCCCCCAAAAAACCCTACCAAATTCTTGTATTTTTGGGTGAGTTAATTAAACCCTGGATATTCTGAGGACAATGTTTACCATTTGAATAAAGGTTGCCAATAGTACTTTCTGCTATCTTATTGCAGGCAATACTGTTGATAGGTACAGTAATTTAAGAGAAGAGCAGGTGAAAAGCTGCTGTGGTCTGCAAGTGAGGCCCAAGAAAGTATGTCTGTAAAACCTAATGTGTCTTAATGTATTCAACCAAATGTTTCATGTAAGAAGGGAGAGAATTCAAATATATTTAAAAGTTTTTTTTGCATTTTTATCGAATGTGAAAATGTTAAGACATTTTTAATTGCCTGATTTTTATATTTTGGTGGACTCCACTCTGTTGAAAAAGTCCTTAATTGAAGCACAAAGAACTGCATTCAAATCTCTGTTTGGTCCAATTTACTCTTTTGTGTAAGTGCCCTTTAGCTCTTTCATTAAACCTGACACAGATTTCAATCACAATGCAAACAACTGTACAAACAAAGCCTAGCTTTTTGAAATATTGCAAGCAGGAATACCCCTTCTTGACTTGGGACAGAACATTCTTTTGTTCCCGTCAGCCTGAGATGAGATTCAACAACTCAAACCAAGACACAAGTCTAAACTTTTCTGTACCTGTTGACAACAGTGCCCAGGCCCTTAAAGGGGAACTGCAATGCTATTTTTACATTTCGGGGTTATAGTGAATCAATGATGAGTGCATTTCAAACCACAATGAAGCTACCAAGTACATGGTAAGGTATACAACCTCCAATTTACATCACAAAAGAGAGGAAGTTTCAATGTATGCATAGCACTATATTGCCGTCATTGTCTGCGATTCAGAACGGGGCAACAAAACTTGTGGTGACACGAAAGCGGCCGTATTAAATTATAAACATGATTTATACCAAGTGAATTTTGCCAATAAAATGTATATTTCTACTGAAAATTTTACTTTCAGCACATTTTTTTCCAGATTGTGCTGTTGTACTGGTATGGCTCTTTAGAGCATACCAGAAGTCTCCCCCTTATATAGCGTATAGTTTCATCTGGAACTGTCAAAGAAATTGCAAGAAATGACTGTGCTGCCCTGGGATGTTTTTTGATATTACCTGATGTAGAAATATATATATATGTAAAGTCATTTAAGGCCTTTTGCGTGTTGGAATACAAACCACAAGAGTGCATGCTTTTTAAAGCACCTATTAAGGTAACCACAGTGGAATTCTTTTCTTTGGTGGGAAAAGTATTGTCATTAGCTTACACCACTAGAAAGGATTTTTGTGAAGTGAGTTTATTATACTAGTGAAGCCAAGTGATTTTACTGTAGTTCATGTTTTTGTGTGTAAGAGGGAGATATGCCATAGACAGTATCATTGTGGTAGGGGGAGTTACAACCCTGTTGTGCTTTCTGTAGATACATAAACTGGGTTCATGGCCATGGTAGTTGAAATGAATATGACAAAACCCATACACGGTCACTGAAACATAAAACATTTTGATAAGGACAAAAAGCTTGTGATGCTTTAAGCGAATTGCGATTGACTGCACTTGATTCAATCCAAATTCTGATTTGTTTCTTCAAATCTTTGGTGAGAAGTGCATTACTGAGACTTGTTTTTTGGGTGTTTTGGGTCGTGCCAGCAAGGTGGTGTAAGGGAGATTTTAGCTCAGTGAGTCCCTAAACCTACTAAACCAGTCTTCAGTAAGAGTTGTCTGTTGCTACAGGGAGCTCTGGAAGCCCTTTGAGAGTGACAACACATTAATGATGAAAAGAGTTTGAAATGGTTCTTGACTTGACCCATCTTTTTCCAGGGCTACGCGGTTTCACTTTTGAGTAGATACAATCACCCACAGCGTTACAAAGTTATAATGATTTTTATTTTTGGTAAATTAAAAGCCTAGAACATGAGCCCTCACTTTTTTCTTGTCCAGAGGCATTGTAAGTTACAGTACCTGGTATATCAAAGTTTTGACTCAAACCATGGTTTTTATGCAGCTAGGTCATTTAGGAGTTAAACTCTTATACTCCAAAAGTTAAAGGGAATTCAATTGCGGTTGTGTTTCGGTCATACCACAATGCTACAGTTGCTAGATGTGTTGTGTCTTGTAAATTTAAGCACTTACTGGATTAACCTGCATTTTTTACAGACTCTTAAACTGGACATACAACACTGAAACAAAGACCAGAATACTCACTACAGTTGGCAGGAGCTTAACTGTGGATATGTGCTGCACAGTTTCCCAGTCTAAGAGTATTTACATATTCTGTTTCCAGTGATATATCTGCATGTCATCTCTAGACATCTCATTTTTTTTCTATGAATACAAAAAATATAGAAGAATATGAAACTATTGAGTGGAAAATGTTAGTTTCCTTTACTTTTCTTTCACAGTTAATTGTTTTCCCTAAGCCAGTCTGCCTGCTGATACTTCCACTCTCCCAGATAAGTTTAGCCATTGCACCCCAGAATAAACTCTATCATTAAGAATTTTGGAAATATCAGAACGGAATGTTAGTTTGCTCCACTTAACTAATTCATCAGGAACTTTGTATTATCTTTCTGTCACAATAAATATACTATTAATTGTAGTGGTAAAATAGGTCTCTTTCTTTATTTCGTCTTTATACTGTGTTTCTTGGAAAGAAGCAGTTAAAAAATGAATGTATTAGCTAGTTTGGAAATGTCATCTATGACTCTTATGGAAAAACTGCAGAAAACGGTATGATGTCAGTTACAGAAATTGAAACAAGCAGTAAAATTGAATGAAGAAAAACCAAGTTACTGCATGAGTGGGCTCATGTGTCACAAAAATCTTAGTCACGAAAGTTACATTTCATGTGAAGCCTAACAAGCTGGCAGCAGCAATTGTTATCTCAAATCTAATACTGAAGATACTGATTCATTACTGGAATCTCATAGAATGTGTACATTGCAATAGTGCACAGGTTACGCGATGATGTATTCACTCTGTCACTTGCATTTTTTTAGAAAGTATTTTTAAATTGTCAAAAAAGATGAACAAGTACGTTCAGACATGTTTCACCTGGGCTGCTTTTATAACATTCTGGGTAACAGGGTTCTGTAGATGGTTTGTATAACAGCTGCATTGCAAGAGCAAAGTTAGCCATACCACACTTAAGAGGCATTTCTCAAATAGAAATGAAAAGTCATAAGGTGCTTCAGCAGGGGTGCAGCTTAGGTCTTCTGAATTAGAAGCAGGCAATTGTAAATTACAGTAAATTCACTTGCTGGTATTTGTTGGAGGCCTCATACTCTTCACAAAATGTACAGTACAATAAAATGTACTGTATTTCTGCGTATCAGCAGGGGTGAGCCGTTTGAAAAATGATTTTACAGCTGCCTTTGAGCTGTAGGAGCAAATCAAGTGCATCATTGGTCTTTTTATTTTGCATTTTCAAGATGGGTCTGCACCAAGGCAAAGACAAACCTGCCTTCAGCAGATGCTTTTAAGTATGAAAACACTACCTAAAGCTGTCTAAAGCAGACTGCTTACCCTAGGTCTTTGATAACAGCTTTTAGTTCATCACTAATTTTTAAAACACATGTAAATACCTGATATTACAAAATGAACCGTGATTTTGACAGTGAGGAGTCCATATTAAAGCAAATATTTTATATTATATTATATTTTCTATTACTGGTACTCTACTGGGATCTACTGTGTTTTTATGTAGCTTCTGCTCTCATTTCATCCTTGTAAATTCTCTTGAAATAAAAACAAAATCATAACCTTTAAAAACAAATTAAATGTGCAGAAAATCCGCACAAAAGACATAATCCGGGTTTTAACAGCAGTTAAAGGCAGCATGTTTACCCTCATGAAGACAAAATTAGAACTCTTATTTGTGCTTTCCCATCAGATGGTTTCCTGACACAAGTTTGGGAAACTACTAGGAAGACAGATTGATAACAATAGAGATCAGCAGATAGAGTTTCTTTCATTACTTAGTCAAAAAATTGCCAACTACTAGCTATACAGAACACGCAGTATATACCCTTTTATTTGTTGTGTACGAGTATCATTGAAAATTTTAAGCTGGTAAAAGTAGTAACTTTTAATTAAAATCTCACTGTTATCTGGAGGGGAAAGAAGACTCCTCACTGGTTTTCCAATACCATTTTTAGAAGCAAATAGGTTGTCCATCCCAAAACTGACTAGATCCAACCATGCTTAACTTATAAGATCTAGCTTCAAGTTTGAAATGCTGATGACAATATATGCCAGGTTTAATATACAGTATATTAAGCATGTAATATACAGTATATTATACTTATAAACCAATGTTATTTCTAGTGATAAGCACTACATATTATTAGACTATATCTAGTTTGAATTCCAAAGTTTATTTGCAAACAGTAATAATGATTTCAAGTAAATTAAAGTGTATGTAGAATTCTTCCTCTAAATAATTGGAGACTTCTTCTTTTAATTTGAGATGAATTGTAGCTTCTCAAAATACTTTGTGCTTGGATATTTAATTCAGAACAACAGTATTATAATAAATCAACTGGCGCACAGGAAAAAAGCTTATATTTACAAAGCAAAAAAAAATATTGTTCTGCTCGTTTCACAGTATAATAAAACAGATGTGTGTTAGCCTGAAGTGGTGACCTTGGCCATGAAGTTTATATCAAGGCTCCATAAATCATAAGCAACAGAACATATTGCAATCGAAAGAGCATTGTGTTCTTCCTGGTTCATTTGTTATCAGGAGTCCTCAGATGAATGCATTCTTTAGATTTTTTTTAAGTTTAAAGTTTAGCTGAGGTCTGCCAATTCGAATTTAGAGTTTATGCTTTTGCCAGATATTGTCTGAAAATATGTGGAGGAAAAAAATCGATCTAATATACAAATGAAGGCACACATATGGTACACGTTTTACAGACACTTTATTCATAGTAAAATTGAGATGTTTGGGGGTGACATTGTAGGTGCTGATGTGACTAGAAAGTTCTCTTCATGACTGCAACAGCCTGTCACACATAAGCACAAGCAGACTCACCATAACAAAGAGCACAGATTAAATAGATGCTCAGAAGCACACCTAGACAGTGCAGTCTTAGGACCATATAATACATACAGCTCCAATAAAAGACAACCCCTAGACCTCTGAGATCCAAAGAGAGTTTTTTATAGTGAAACTAGGCCAGTTCACACCAAGTACGTCCCTGCTCACAGCTTTCTATATTTATGCATTCGTGTGGAAGCTTCAATGCAGCAAGTAGGAATTAATCTCAGCTTGTTCCTCTACATACAGTACTGTATGTACATATGGGAATACCTGTAATGTGTACCATACATTGTTATAATTAATTGGAATTATTTAGTCATTGTGGTTACTACCTCAAAGTTCTTTAGGTCCATACTGGGGTGCCTTGTGTGTTTGGAGTTTGTATGATTATTAAAATTCTATAATATCATTAAAATAAGACAAAATACTTGCTTGACGCCTCACATTCATCTTAAATGAACGTACACATGCTGGTAGTTTTAAGAAGTCATTAAGCATGGAGTAGAACAAACAATTGATTATTATGGGCTGAACAGCCTTGTCTCATTTGCAAACTTTGTGTTCTTACGACAGCACTTTCTGTAGCACTAATGCCTCTGACTATACTGAGGCATTTGTAAGGAAATTGTGGTCCAGAGCAAAGGTGACCAGCTGCTGGCGTGCTGTCTACTGCAACCTGGTTTCCTTTGAAGTCTCCTCTCCCGGTATTAACATGGCACATCGTTAGCTTTTGATTTGATGAACAAATTCTGTTGCTAGTCTTATGGAGTTAATCAGTCGCTCACCGAAAAATGTACTTATAAAGCCTCAATAGACACATTTCGCTTTTGTTTGGAAGGCTACCCTGGTTAAATAACTAAAATCTTCCAAGTTCTTCAAAGATTTCAAGGATTATGAACCTTCAATTACTTATGTGGCTCGTCTTGTAAGTCTCAGTATCGGTAGCCACAATTCAAGATATTATAACAACCGCGGGGTTCGGTACGGAATGGAGCAGGCGTAGGATTCAGGAAAAGGGGTAGAACAACACATTTATTAACCAGAACCGTGTACACTAATACAGACACGGAAAGGAAGAGGCTGTCTCCCAGCCTCCGTCCACTCTGCACAGTCCGATAGTCCCGCCCCTCGGGCGCTGTTCTCAACCCGCCCTGCGTGCGCACGGCTAAAGCGCTCCGTGTGGCGCTACACTGTACAACATTAGTATCAATTCAATAAAGGTTTTTCGGTATTGTAAAGTGTAGGTATTATCACGAGACAATTATGGACATGGATGTACAGAGAGCTAAAAGTGAAATTGTAGAAAACAACTGTCAGCTGTAGAAATGAATTTAAACAAGCCTATACATGTATCTAATGACAGTATCAATAACTCCTTTTGGGTCTTCTGGTGAAGCTAATAGTAATTTTCCATGTATTTCTAAAACCCAGATTGTTTCATTTTTTTGTTCGCAACTGCAATATACAATAGATTCTGAATCTATAAGGTGCATTTTGGTTGGAATGTTAAAGAAAATATAATAATAATTTTAAATTTACTTTAGCTCAGTTACTGAATTAGAACCTATTAAAAGACTGTGGAAGGGGGTTCTTCAAGTGTGAAGCCACAATGCAGAAGGTTCAATCAACTCATTGATTGATGCTCTTGGTTATTGCTCGTTTTTGGCAGAAAGTAAAAGAAAAATACTCTTGTCGGGGAATTCTTTAAAAAAACTACAGGTGCTTTTGGGGTTGAAAACATTTGCAGTATGATTTTTAGTAGAATATAGAAAAACTTGCACACATTTACAATTGAATTTATAGTAATGAAACATTAAAAACATTGTATATTCCTAAGTAAAACAATAATTTAAAATGTATTTTAAACTTGTTTTTCAGCTTCATCTAATTCATTGGAATTCTACTCTGTTCAGCAGCATTGAAGAGGCTCTGGGTAAAAGAAGTGGGATACTTATCATTGCTTTATTTGTACAGGTATTGTTTGTTTTTCTGTGTAGAAAGTATTTCCAATTTGGTTATGTATAAATTACAAATGACAAATTCAAACCAAATGAAAAAATATTAAATAACTTTTTTCATATGCCTCTTGCATCAGTTCTCTTAAGTACATGCAGTTATTAGGCAGAAACTTAACTGCTGATGATCACATCTCAAACATACTTTGGCTGGTTTTAAAAAAATCAGCTCTTATTTCATCTTAGTTTAATAGTAGAGACCATGGAGTTTCTCCGCTGATTACACATTTGTTTTGTAACAATGGCTTGGGGGGAATTTTCGCACTAGATCAAAAAGAGCCATCAAAGATGCTGACATTGCAGATCTTGATAGTGTCCAGAAAAGGCCATCCTAGTCATTTCAACAATGAGACGGTTGTTCATCCTCTGAAGGCTGGAAATGGCTGAAGACGTTGTCCCACATTGTCCCACATAATTACTCCCTCTACCTCAACTCTCAGTTCAAAGTCAAGATGAAGTGTGGTACCCAATACTGTCAGTCTGTTTGTAAACTGAAAAATCTTTATGTTAGTTAATATAAACCCTTGTTTATTCTTGCAACGTGAGCCTTGGCACAACCTGATAACCCTCCTCCAAACTAAGTCATGTAAAAAATGAGACCAGACATCACGGTCGGACATCAATACAAAGAACAGATGTATTGACCTGTCAGATGATTCTTCAATCTGTTGGAGAGTCTTTTTTGTTGTAATGTACGACTCTTCTATCGAGAAACTTAATTTGGGTATTGATATAATAAAATAATATTACAATAAACTGAACACAGCCTTTGAGTGGTACAGTTAATACTGGTCACTATGAACTGAAATGCAATACTTACGACCACTATTCAGAATTAGTGGATGTATCTAATTAGTTGAGTGTTGTATTAGGCTACTATGCTATTGTGTGCTCATATTTATGTTTTTCCTTGGTTGACTTTATTGCAGATTGGTAAAGAACATCTAGGACTGAAAGCAATTACAGAGGTCCTCCAGGACATACAATACAAGGTGACCTACTGCTTCCCTTGATTGTTACAGCAGGTGATCTGTGGGAACACAGTTGTCTAGATTTTAAGAAAAGCAACTGTAGCAGTCCACAGCAAGGAGTCTGTGATCTTTAAATGTGTATGCTGTTAGATTACAGTAAAAAGACAATAGCCGTGTGGCTTATATTGAAAATGGCAATTCCTTGAAAAGAAAAAAAAAAGAAAAAAGTATATAAAAAGTAGTATGGTAAAAAAGTAGAAAGTAGGTCTGGGGTCAGTTCCTGGGGTGCCATCTGAATGTATGATATCATAAATATGATACAACAGAAACATTTCAAGAGAAAGATACCTTATTTTAATTGTTACGCAATGATTAGAAATACTACCTGCATGTTATTCAAATACTAAAGGAAAATAAGGAAACGCATACTGTTCCAAATATAGCCATTAATCATTTTATTGCAGTTCTAAAAATAGTATAGAGTACTGTATAGTTAAAACCCGAGATGAGTATATTAATCATAGAAACTAAATTAAATGAGACAGTTACTTTGCAATGTAGTATTGAGGTCTAAAAGATGTAACCCTTTATAAAATTTACTGCAGTAAATCATGGTATATTCATGGTCCTGTATTTTATTGCACAGGGAAGGGTTGTTAAACGAAGAGAGACCATCTGCATGAAGCACGTACAGTGACAAACTGGGGAAAGGATGAGACCGAAAGTCCCTTTTAAAAATAACTAGTTCTATAGCACTGTAGTTCCCTTTATACTGTATTCTTAGGAAAAACAAAAATAGAAGAATTCTGTCTTTTCTAGTGTGGTTCAGTAGTCTTTTTCTACTACACAGCCATCAGCATCTCAGCCACATTCTTGAGCTGCTTTTCACTGGCTCTCCTGGTCTCAGCTTCCAGACCAGAACCTGTGGTTTTGTAGAAAATCCCATCTGTTGTCTGTGAAGGCCATAACTGGAGCAGCTGTGAATTGCCAAGTGAATAATAGCTGACACCTTGTCACACTCACAAATACAAAAGAAAATAACTTTATAAACAATTCTGAATGTAGAAATTCTAATTCTTTATGTGTGATTTATTTGAAGGTGGAGTCAAACTGGAAAAAAAAACAATAGTTTTATAATGTGGCAACTGGATCTGTGTATGGATGTTTTTATAGATGGGTTATGCTATTATCTCCACTTTAGAAAATGTGTGATAAAAAAATCCACAGATATTTCCTTAAGAATCACTGATATTTTTTCACTGGGCATCCTTCCAGCCTTGATTATTAATGGCTTATTAAGATGAAAATGCAGGAGTTTCTTTCTCAGTTAAATTTGTATCAAGGAACAATCTGAACTAGCTTGTGTACCTGTAGTTCTGTAACCACCCATGGAAAAAATACAATGTTAAATCTACGGTTTCTTACTGTTCTGAAGGTACACCTGAAAAGGTAATTTCAAGATCTACTTTCAACACAAGATAGTTTTGCCTTTAACTCAGCTGATCTTCATTGGTAAAAGTGTTTATATTTCGGTCTTTCTTTCTTTTATTTTGCAGGGGAAGACAAAAATCATACCATGTTTTAATCCCAACACATTGCTGCCTGGTTAGTGATTTATGGAGCATAAATGTTTGTATTTTCTAACTATAATGTCGATATCATCATTTCTAAAGCTAAAATGCACCCAATACGGCTGCACTTTTATCTTCTTATTCTTTTGATCATGTGCAGAAGTACAATAACGATCACAGAATAGTCTCAACATTTGCATGTTCGTTACAGTAATAAAGATCAAAAAATGAAAGAAAAGGATACCCCAGGGATTTCCTTTTGAACTGCCTGTGTGTTGTTCCCCAGACCCTCTCCTTCGAGATTACTGGGTTTACGAAGGCTCTCTCACCATGCCTCCTTGCAGTGAAAATGTCACTTGGATATTATACCGATATCCATTGACAGTGTCACAGATGCAGGTAAGTTCACAGCCAGATCCCCAAGATCTGTCGCTGTAACTCAAAGGTGACGCGATACTGGGCACATGCATGTCTTGCTAATGAGAAGCCTCTTTAAAACACTTCACAGCCTTCCTCCTCTTTCAAGTAAAGGTTACAGGCAGCCCTTTGAGCTGCCCAGCTGTAGGAGAAAACAGCACAAAGGTCACAGATAAAATAAACGCCAGGTACTTTTTTCATGTATATTTTAAACAGTTCATTGGAGAAGCCCAGAAAAGGGGTCAATGAACAGCTCTAGACACCAAAACACCAAAATAGCAGATCAGGAAAAATACTGTAGATCTGTTATTGTGAGGATGGCAGAACAACATCTCTGATTCCCCTTGAAAAAAGCTCAAAGCAGAAGCCACAGAGTCACATACGGTTAATGTAGGAATTAATAAAAACTTGATATGAGTTTTCTAGGCTGTGGCCTGGACTAAATGAAACAGCCGATTTGAAATGAAAAATACAGTTCTTGATATCTGTTTTATGTTGGGTTGTAATATAAGAAACTTCGGTAATATTAGGGTCACAAACTGACATATTCCAGGCCAGAATCCCACTCTGTTGGTGGCATTTATGACAACAGACAGCTCAGTCTTATCTGGTTAAATAATTATGGAATTAAACTGAATTTCAGTTCAAGTGCAGATTCATCATCACAGGAAATCAGGAGGATATCACATGTATAATGAAAACATACTGCTAGGACAATAATGCTGTCTTAAAGAGTCAATATAAAAGCCATTTGCTTTCCCAATCCAAGACATGTGAGATAATGGATTATTAAAGTAATTGTTTACATTATCTCATTTTTTTTGTTTGTTTTTTTTTCTCTTCCTGCAGCTGTCATTATAATGTCCTGTATGGTTCTTTACATTTAGTACCATAAGAATTATTTGCTAGAATCATTATGTATTCCACATCAGTTATATTCTAAACATGCTTTTCAATGTTAGTTGCCAGGAAATCTGCAGCATAGTTAAATTACAATGACGCTAAGGCTTTTTGGCTCCAGAGTTCCTTCAATTCACCTCTGAGAGATCCTTTAAGAAGATATCTTTGACAAAATACTTACAGTTGTTTTTCTAAATAACAAGGAATGAAAGGAGCTGATAATCATTAGAATCTGAGTAACAAGCTAGGAAACAAGACAAATGGAAATCCAGGTGAAATACACAACATTTTTAACTTGCAGAAAATAAAGGGACTTCAGTGTTTTATAGTGACTGACACTGCAAGTGTAAGATACCAATAGACACACAGGTGCAGCCAGTAAAATTTGTCTAAATTTGTTTAAGAGTTTACCTTGGAGATTATGTTTTTATTGGTTGGTTACTATGAACATTGGCATTCATAAGGATTCTCTCTTTACCTTTCCATCTGATCAGGTTGACTGTTCTCTTTGTTAAATATTAGCCTTCAAACTATCTTGTGTCAAGAGAATGTCACACCTACTGTTTGAAAATATTTTATTGTTGAATTGCAGGATATTGCAGAGAATGATTTTTTTCGCTGTTTGTGGAATACTGTATATCCCATTCTATGGTTCAAAATCTATGGTCTGTAACAGAAACAACCTTATAAAGTGACTCGTATGTTTATAGTCTTACCATGGTGTGCTACTAAATAACAGTTATAGATTAATTGAGATTAGATGAATAAAGTGTATATAATATTATAGACAATCCTATATCCATTTACCAATTTAAATTGACCAATTTAATGATTGGAAGGGTTTTAAGATGACTGAATGATTCAGCCATTAAAGATTTGAACAGCAACTTGTTCAAGTATCATGTTCCTCTAACTTTGCAAAAATCCATCATAATGGAAATCAAATTTACAATAATGATTTTATCATTCATGCTGTTTTGTACAATTTGTAAAAGTCTTGAGAAAACAGATTGTAAATATTATTCAAAGATTTAATGCACAGGGCTTTGTAACTATTTTTATAACACTCACAACACTTTGTTTTTCTGAACCATGCTTTCTATGATAAAGAAAGTACTAGTTTTTATTATAAGTATAGGTTCCTAGTAACTACCCTTATCCAGGGTGATTTATAATGCATACATTATTTGCATTAAGTGTACCTGTACAGTAGGTATAGGTGATAACAACCAAGCACAGTAAAATACAAATAAATTAAATAATCATTAAATGGAAGCACAGCTGTGCTGCAAAGCTAGAACACCGATCCTGAAATGCACAGTGACATGACCAGACTGAAGTGGTTTTTCTTATTTGTGTTGTTTCAGATAGAGGAGTTTCGAAGGCTGAGATCCCACATCAAAGGCGCTGAGCTGCCGGAGGGCAGCGATGGGATGTTGGGGGATAACTTCAGGCCCACACAGCCCCTCAGCGACAGAGTCGTCAGAGCTGCTTTCCAGTAGTGTCACTGCCAGTGTGGAGTCTTACTGTCTACAGGTATGTAAGTTTCCAGAACCTAGACAGTCGAAGCTTCCAGCATTAGCTTTTAATAACAAGGAACTGAATTTAAAACACACCATTTGTTATCAAATCAGTTGCTGTACAAACAAGAGAAATAAAGCACCACGTCACATCCACCTAGTAGATATGTGCTACTGAAAAGCTAAAGTTAAATATTGAGCTCAGTTACTGAATTAGAACTTATTAAATGACTGTGGAAGGGGGTTCCTCAAATGCGAAGCCACAATGCAGAAGGTTCAATCAACTCATTGATTGATGCTCTTGATTATAGTTTTTAGTTGTGCTCTTAATTATTGCTCTCGCTTTGGTAATTCATGGCCTCGAAATCCACAAAAGCATCGACACAGGCAACCCATTGGACTTCAGAATCTAGAGTGAAACACAGACCAGGGGAAAGTAAGGGAAATGCCTTCAAAACTGGGAACAGGGAGCACTTTGCGTACAAAGGCTAGCTGGAATCTGGAACGTGCTACACAGCCATGGTGCTGAAGATGGTACCCAGGTGGCTTTTAATTAACGGCTGGAAGAGATTCTTGGAACCGTTGGCTCTTAGCAGCCAAACAAACTGCAACACCTGTATTGGCTTCTCAAAGCATGAGGTGCTCTTTGTAAAAACATATCTACAGTATACGTTTGAAACGCACAGTGTTAAAAATACAACAAATGCTTCTGGGTTTCTTGGAAAGATAATTCAAAGTATTTCTGAGGTACCAGATTTCTGGGACAAATACAGTATGATTTACTATTGACATAATTTACTTTTTCCTACAGACCAGGTTCTAAAAAAAGAGAGAAATAGGGCATGAGAGCCCTGTGGTCTTTAAGACTTCCACACAATGTATCACGGTCAGCTAGTGAATTAAAGAATAACCCATTTTTTTAATATAGGACATTGTTTGAATTGCCTGTGTGCTATATTAAGAGCTATTTTAGTGATCATGTGGGAATATGTAAAATCTATGTATAAGATTACAACTGTTAAATTACAGTAAAACAGGGCATAAAGCAACATGACATAAATTAAAAACACTTAATTTCACAAAATGGGGAAGGTGTTATTTTTTATGCAGTAGTAGATAATTAGCAGTTAATAAATCAAGAGCAAAAGGAGTATTTAATTGTTCTCTAAACAGTTGACTCTAAAAAGGAATGAATAACAAGGAAAAGGCAACTCAGGGTACTATAGTGGCTGAGATTCGGTCTGCTGACTCCTTTTGGGGCGTCTGGCTGGAAATGCACATTTCCCTCAAGGAGGTAGATTGAGTGCCACTGTTAAAGATTTCTGTACCCGTGTTGGAAGAATGAGACTAAACATCAATTTTCCTGCAGTGGTACTGCCGATTGTCTGGTTAAAAAACCACAATAAAAAGCCAGGTATTATTTGTTTTTGTCTTCTGAATGAAAATATCTTGGATATGAGAAGGCGTATGAGGCCGTGCTCTCCCAACTAACGCCAGATGTCTTTAAACCTGTTGACGGCACGAATAAGTCATCTGTTGTCTTTGGCAGGTGTATAAGATAGACTTTGGAGTATACACTCTTTTAACTGAATGCCTATAGATCTGTTACAAAATTACTTCAATTTAAATCAATTGTATAATTTATAATCAACTTTATAGTAATTCAATTAAAATGATAGAATACAGTATTTCCCTTATTTTCAGTTCATATGCTGTT